TTTCCTTCTACTCTCAAACTATGAAATGTTTATCGAGAGGCGCCGCAGGGAAATTGGGAGATGATAAATCATAAAACCATGAGATATCTGAGGTGTATGACCTCTATGGATTCCTAGGGTGTTTCAAATAATGGAAACAGAGATGCTTATAATAGATGGATATTTTGTTTGTAGTAGAATTCAGAAAGTGCGTTTACTTCTATTTGTGACTCGTTAGCTGGATGCACATAGTTTTTATGTTCACAACAAAAGTCGAGCCCAATACCTTTGGTTTCAAACACTGAAAGAGTTTTTAAATGATCCTCTGAGTTTAGTTTGGCAAGATCTTGTTGAAGGTTTACAATCATAACATAATTAGTAGTAAAGGTATAACAAGTCTTATGATATACACAAACATACAAATCTACATTTTTTTTGGATAGTTAATAATTTTGCAAAATAAATATGTTATTGCAATACTACTCATTACTAACCTCGTGTAGGACTAAGATTTTTACAATTGGTTGATCAATGAGTAATGACCAATATCATGCTTTTCTATCCCTTTAGTGCTAATTGAATTCTATCGATCAAGTTGCAATATGGACAGTAGTCTAAATGACTTGATATGACATGTACTACACTGTGATAAATCAATGGTATATCTTAGTCCTACAGAAGGTCAGCCATAGCTCTAAGAGCTCAGTGGTAACGTTTCATACTACGAAGCTGGATGACGCGAGTTCCAATAATTTATGACATATTTGTATGTATATATTCATGTTTTTAAATTAATCTTTTGCATGAAAGATTTTTGCATTTACTCTTGTTCTGTTGAACTAGTTCACCTGAAATAAATCGTTTTCAATAAAATTTTGTGTTCACCTATGTATGTTTCGTTGTTGAAGTTAGCTTAACAATAAAACAGTAATATGAAATTAGTCCGGGATATACGTACCGATGACTAATGAAATGTGGAGTTCAGTGGGTCACTAAAAGAGTTTAGGCTATTCCACTGTTGATATGAAGGACTAAATTTCGCTGTCCATAATGTGAAAAACAGGATAACTCAAAACCTCACTGTTAATAATATGAGAAGAAATGGATTGAATGTATTGTCTCATATAGAGAGTAGTTAAAGAGAAATTAAATTGATGTATCCTACATTTCTTAAAATAAACTTCGGATATATCACATAATTTAGTCGTGGTTTAGGGGAAGAATTTGCCCTCTGATTTGTGGAAATCGAAATCCAGTTTCCAGTACTTTGATTGTATCTAGTCACTTAATAGTGAAAGTCAAGTGATGATGTTTTTCTGTTTTAGAATAAAACCATGGTGCATATTCAAGATTTCTAAATGACCTGAATTAACGGACGGTTGATTTTAAGTAAAAAATTGATGGAATATTGCACAGAACAACTTAAGAGCCAGATTCTTGTCATTCTATGTTGACATTAAACATTTTGTTACCCAATATTTAGATAACATAGTAAAATGACATATGTATAAACTACTCGTTATCAGATAATAGACAGGCTCATGTTGCAATGAATATATGAGCTCTTATTATTATTCTTACCCCTTATCAGTATGGTCCGAAAGGCCATTAGTATAAACTATATGCTGGAACAATCATTGTGTATTATGTTATACATGTCTAAAATTATAAATACCTTCTAGAGACAAAGAGGTTATAGATATTTCAAGTTGAATGTAATTTTCTATTATGTGCCTAAGAAATGACTTAACATTATGTTATACACGCTCACCAAGGTCCTGCTGTAGATTTCATAATCCCAAAAAATGAAGAGTCTTTGAAGGTCTTTTTATTTCTACTACTGGTTTTCGATATTATTCATCCGTGAACGTGCTAATTACAAATTGCAGCCAACCAAAGTGTTTTTTTTCATAAATGGAAGAAGAAATTATATCTAATTGACTTGAAATAAAACAGTTATGGATATTATCATCAATCTTATTTCAGATACAAATGACCAGGAAACAGATTTAAAACCAATTCCTAAACAAGTTCACATAAATCTGTTTAAATAGGCATTAAACTATAATTCACTTCTGTATTATAACCCACGGAATAAATAAATGCTAGAATTAAGATAATTGTGAGAATACAGTATAGCATAAGCTGCTAAAGAGTTTTCACCTACTGTCTAAGGGTAATGAGCTGTAAATATAATACTAAATAAACCAGTTACTTTTTGATGCAATCTAAAAAATTTGGCATTTTTGTATAACGGAGTAAGTTTTTAAAAATTCGTTGAATAAAACAAGTAGATTAAATTCTCAATATGTTTTTCATGTTTTAAAATGCAAGCCCTGATAGAACATCAGATGTGTCTACGCTAAGGGGAATGATTGAAAATTTGACGTAAAAGTTCAACTGTATTTGATGTCCCTTAAAATAGAATTGAATCTGTAAACACAATGCTATACCTTATATTTATACTTATACTCTTTAGTTATGATTAGTATGTCGGTTCGAATGAATTATTCTGATATTTTGGATGTTCACTTGAATCCTACTAAGGTGAACTTAACATTCTGTAAGGTAGGAGAAATATTTTACGGATTTGTTACCCCTAGAAAAAAATATAGATGTTACTGCGTTCTGTCGAAATCATCATCGTGGTCTTGGATTCATTACAACTCACTGATCTTGTGTAACAATTAGATTCCGTTCATGTTCACAACATGACATGACTTCTCGTGTGAGATTGTCTGGTTAAGCTATGCTATTTAGGTGTTTTGCGTACTCTTTAATAAAAATATCTGCAACAATCTGTTGAAGTATTCTACTGAGTACTTGTTCCGCCTGATTGATTATAGGTTACTTTGGCTTATTTCATACATTGACGATCAGTTGATTCCATCAATTGCGAAATATTGGAGTTTTATTGCTAACAGAGTTAATAAGTAATTTAGTCACAAGTGAGACTTAAATACAATTAAAATTTATAGATTTGTAGGAAAGTCCTTGGTTGCAGTTTGCTGATAGAGAAATAGTTATGTTCAAAGTATAAGACATGAGGCTCGGGATTACATAAAACCACTTGTTGGGTTTCTATTAACATGTTCTACTATTTGACCTAAATCTCTTTTACAAAACCTCAATGTTATATGTTATTGTTTTCTGTGTTCATACTGTTAAATAATAATGTAACCTCCATCTACTTTCCTAGGTTTTAGAGGAAGCAAAATTTTATTTTCAAATCAGGTATTGTATTATTAAATTAAGCCGCTATCAGTTAATAATGCCAAATTTATACTATTTGCCACTTCAGAACATTCAGATGGAGAAAAGCCAAATGACCACCATACTTTTTTGTAAATTCCATGTGATTTCAATTCTAGAACCTAGATCGTACAAAATAGAACTTCACATTTATTGAATAGATAAAACAAAAATCTATTTTAATGAAACAGTAGCATTTCATAAATACTCAATATTGGGAATATCTTCTAAAATCTGTAACAGGAAGCATATTACGGAATTTTTTAAAATGTTTTATATTTGCAACAGTTCGAGCAGTTTCCCTAATTACAGTCATTACCCCCCCTCAATTTTCTATACATTGCCACTTGCAGAGCATATTCGTATCACAAACACCACTTTTGTTATCAGTTCTACATGGGAAGGACAGCCATTCAATTTGTAGCACTTGTCTTTAATCAGGATCATTGAAATCGAGATTCTTTTTGCTACCTGACAGATCAATGTACATGGATCATTGTGTTGATGAGCACACGAGGATTTAAACTCGATAGCCATCATTTTGAAAACCAATTGAATAAAGTAATTTTAATCATCCTAGGTCTACTTATAATTGATTTCGTCAATCATTCCATGTGTTTTCATTACTTTTATCAGTTTCATTAATGATGTCGGTAATATCATCTTTCAATTAACCAGTTTACCTGGAAGCTAGTAAAAAGTAATTTTATAGAACTATTCCTACTTTTAATGTTGAATCCACTTAATATTGAACTAATCCTTTTTTCTAAATTTTTTTGAATTCTGTAATTATTTTGAGAATCGGCATCATTATTATTATCTCATAAAGAGGAAACTTTTAAGGCATTCTGTAAAAAAGTAAAATAAAATGTAATCCATGCTTCAGGAGATCATATTTAGTTTCCTAAATATGTGAGGTATGTTAAGATTGTATTTCTTGTCTTTCACTTCTTTAGAGTCATATATCTGGAAATCCTTTTTATAGAACAGTTTAAAAATGAGGGTGAAAAGTTTTAGTAGACTGTCATTCAGTCTGAAAATCATTATTGTCAAAGTAATATACCGTTATCTGGAGAGCTGGAATTCATTCTTTGATCTCTTTGAAAACCTACATCATATCAAGGTGATTAACCTGATCACCTTAAAAATAGTGGGGCACTCAGTCTGACTCGAAATCGAATCACTGAAACACATTCATGATATGTGTGCATTATATTATCCTATGTTCAGTTGATTTAAGGACAAAACTTAATTTCATAAAAAAATAATTAAGAAAATAAACATGAAAGTTTTGAAAATGTTTCACTCATTATTCTATGGATCATTTTGGTTTTCCATTATTTCTTATTTTCAGCTTACTCTGAGGCTTTATGTCACCATTCATAAATTCATATCAGCTCAGCAGGCCTCTGTGTATAAACGTAACTGGTCATCATTTTGCGTTGTTACTATGGTAACGATTAAGATTGTTGTCAACATCCCTTCTTTAATGTGTTTTTTAGGTCACTTAGTAGGTTTGTGTGCATACATTTACTCAGACCATGAATTGAAAATTGTTAAAAATTCAATGAATATTAATTTATTTTTAAAACCCCATTTTTTCTGCACGATTTTAATTTTTCCATGTACTTACTAACGTACAAAAGCTTAAGAGATTACCAGTATTCAAGACACCTGTCACCCTTTGCATAGCCTCGAATAAAAAAAAGGATAAATCAATTTGCATAAAGTTTGACAGGACAAAACTTAAATATTAAACAGTTACTCACTTGTTGTTTTACTGGAAGAATAGTAAACTTGATTATTTTGTTTTTTGAATTTGAGTTTGAATGGTTAATTTGATACGTTCTGTGTTTTTGAAGAAAATAGTTGAACAGTATTCTTCTTCAATATAAATTAACGATATGATATTATTATTCCAGGGATTTGAGTATGGATTAACAGGTAGTACATTGTATGCACAGGCAGAATATTATTCATAACTAAAGTTAATCCAGTAGATTATGTTTTTCTTAAAATTAGAAAACTTTTTTTATATTTCACTGATAAAGAAACTATCCTTCTTTCTATCTTACCAACTCTTGATTTTGTGTTAAAGTCTTTTATAAACATACCGTTTGTATAACCTTGCTGGTTGCTAATGACGCAGCAACAAACATCACTTAAAACGGCCATCTGACTAACTAACTAACAAAACATTATGATTTCCTACTAAGTAAACTCAATATGAAATGTTTACTAGAATATAATACAGTCAACGCCCATACTCACAGTATGGTTTGTATATGTCTGTAATTT